CTCCTCTGTAGCTGACACTGACATCGCCGACTTCTCATGCCCACACTGTCCACGCACATTTACCTCACGCATCGGCCTGATCGATCACTTGCGAATCCATCGCACAGAGACTGGCGAGCCAATGCCTGGAGCACCCACCTATACCCACCAAGCTCGTCTCAATTGCCCACACTGCCCTCGCACTTTCAGGCATCGCATGAGCCTATTCGGCCACATGCGCATCCACGACGACCTGCGGTAGACAACCGCCGGCCACACCACACATTCACACACTCCCTACCTCCTCCACCACCACCATCACCCCATCAGTAATCAACACTCACACACCTCATGCACCCAACTGCCACCTCCCACGCAAGTGGGAAGTCCGCATCTCGACTCGGTCCCCATGCGGCTTCGGCTGCACATGTGACTCGAGTCCGAGACTATCCCGACACGTCAAGCGTCGTGGATAGGAAGGTTGCTGATTGACGCCCGCTCTCGGTTCATGCAGTTCGTCGCGTTGTGTTTGTGTGTAGTGTGTAGTGGCGGACTGGTGGGCTGGGGACGGGCTGAAACAGAACCTTCCACGGCACTCTCACGCAAGTGAGAGACACGCCGTTCAACCCCCGTTGTGTGAAATCCTGGTGTTTGTGTGTGTATGGGGGGCCAGGTCGTGCCGTGGCGCGCGCAGTCATGGTCAGTCGACCATGGCAGCCACCGCGTCCACCTCCCACTCCAGTCTGCTGACCGGCTCGGACGGCGGCTGGGGTGTGGGAATGGGAAGGGAGAGTGAGGTCGACGAATCAGCGCACTTTCTCCTCACTTAAACAATCTGACGCGCTTGAAGCTATCACGGTGCGCTAAAAACCGTGACTTGGATGGTTGCAACTGACGGAGTACCTTGGACCTCCTCCTAAACGCTAGGCGGTCTGAGAGTCAGGCTGCAATGGCTCCTTTTTAATGTGGCCTTTATGGCACTCCCATCACAGTGTGGGATCCGAGCCAGGCGTTGGCGGCACGCCTAGATGCGGCTTCGGCCGTGCCAGCCTCCAAATCTCTGTTGTGTTTGTTGAAATTCTGGTTATTGTTGTGTGGACCAGGGGGTGTGGTAGAACGCCAAGGTGAGGATCCGTCCGAGCCATCCACCTGCGGCTTCCCTCGTCTCCGGTCTTCTTGACTCTGTCTTGACACCGGGCCCAGGCGGGGGAGGAGGAGAGAGTGTAGGTAGATGCTACGCAAGTCTACTGGCACTATAAACCCCTGCGTAAGTCACCGTCCCTGCTCCCATTGCTGCTGCAACAGTGGGGCACACGGTGGACATCTTCGAAACCGATGGTCGAACTGTCATATAACGGATTTAATGAAAAAGTAAGTCGGCGGGTCAGGCAGGACTGGCCTGTATGTGGTATTGAGTAAAAGATTCGAAACCGGCATCATCAAGGCAGAATTCATATACCGGATGAGGCCATTTATGTCAAAGCGACTGATAGAAAACCATTATCAAGGCGATAGGAACCCATATGCGGTCGGGTACAGTCAGTCGAATCCATCCGAGGATGGGGCAGGGGACGTGCGACCAGACTACGAGTATATGACGAATACAGAAGGCTCCCCCAAGAGCGCCGATAGAGCGCATTCTTTGAGGAGCACGATGCATGAACTGAAAAGTCGAAAAAATTAACATTTCTGATGAGGGATCCTAGGGGGCGATACTACACACAAAAGAAGTAAATATGAGCGGATACGGAAATTTAATGACTGCCTCCTAAATTCCCGGTGGCCCTTTCTCGGTGTCATAGAGAATGTTGTCCGGGAAAGATGAGGAATATGAAAGTTTAATTGAGTCCGTATTCAGATAAATGCCCAGCTTTCTCTTAAAGGTTTGTAGATTATCTGAAAATCTTATATTTATTGGAAGGTTATTACAGAGGAAGGTAACGAAAAAGAGAGCGCTTAGAGATGGAGGAAGCGGGAGGATGTATAATCAGGGAAGGGTTGCGAAGATTGTATGGGCGAATACTAGGAGTAAGTGCTGAAATCCGAGGAAGATTTGAACTATTATTAATGCGCAAGAGGAGGAGTTGCTGTCATTCCATAATCCAGATGGAGTCTTACAAAGACGCCAAGAAGTCTTTCGAAGATTTCGGGAGGGAAGATTTTAACTGCATGTCTGATCCAATGTAATTTACTAGTTGCCTTCTGGACCATCTGTCTGCAGTGTTCTGACGGCATTAGATTTGTGGTCGTCCATACACCCAAATCTCTGTGTCTTTCTACAATTTCTAATGCCGTTCCATCAATATAGTACTGGTGTTTGGGAAAGGCATTTCGGCCGGTGTTTAGGTGCAAAACCACGAATTTGGACATGTTACACTTCAAAAGCCGTCTGTTCGACCAAACACACAGTTTGTCGATATCGACTGCAACTTCTTTACGTCATCATCGCACTTGACTTCACTCTTTATTTTTATGTCATCTGCGAAAACGAGGACCACGCACTCCAGTTCACTGATACAGTCATTAAAATAAATCAGGAAGAGTACTGGGCCTAAAAATAACGCGTTTGGACACTACTTCCCATATTTGCGCAAGCCGAGGAAGAGTTACCAACGACGAATCTTTGTACTCTGGAGGACAGAAAACTCCTGATTCATTTAAACATTCATCCTTGAATTCCCACATCCCAGATCTTCTGTAAAAGAAGCCTGCGTGGGACACTGTTAAAGACCTTCTTGAAGTAAAAAATACGGCATCCACTGGAAAACCCTTATCGGTAGCTCGTGTCCATTTCCGTGCGAGTAAAGAACACTCGCTAGGCAGGAGCGCCCTGGACGAAAGCAGTGTTGGGCATCACACAAGATTTCGTTTTTTCCAGGTATTTCATCAAATGTCTTTTGATAATGCGTTCCATTATTTTACACGCGGTGGTAGAAAGACGGACGGGGCGATAATTTTCGCAGTCAATTCTTGAGCCTCCTTTGTGGATCGGAGTGATGAGTGTGCACTTTCATTTTTCCGGAAGATCGACTTCTTCAAATGTCTTTTGAAATATTGCGGACAATAATTCACACAGCTCATTACCAAGTTCTTGCAGTGCTAGTGCGAGAATTTTATCCGGGCCAGGCTATTTGGCAGTTTTCAGACGGAGTAGTCCCGCCCCAACTATGGTCGATGAAAGAGTGGTTTCTCGGTTAAGGAGGGTAAGGAGGGGGTAGGCGGCGTAAGGAGACAAAGAGGAGAGGTTGGTTGGCGAACGGATGGTTGGGCAAACATAGAACTATGTTCTCGGGTGAAGACGGACTGAAAGAATTTAGAAAGGAGGGACACTTTAACCTGGTCATCAGTATCCACTCTTCCATCTGCAGACCTAAGGGCAGGGATCAGCTCCTGAGTCCTTCTAGTACTCCATATATAGCCATATTGTACTTTCGGATACTCCAACGAATTTTGCAGTATGTACAGTTCGAAATTCCTTCGCAGATTGGAGGCCTCACTTTTACAAACGTTGCGTAGCCGCTTATATTCCTGTAGGCGTTCTTCGGAGCCAATTAGTCTGTGCCGCCTCCACAGCCCATTCCTTTTCCTGAAAGAGGCCTTTAAGTCCGGTTTTATCCCTTTTTGAGGGTTTGTAATTGTCTCTTTTCTTAGAGGACTACTGGAATAAACAATCTCTTTCAGTAAGGAACTGAAAGTATTCCAGCTGTCGTTTGCCCGACCATGCAGTGAAGGCAGGCGATGCGTTCTACGAAGGCAACCGCATTGCCGCCGCCAAAGTCAAACGTAAAGCGCACAAGTCCCAGCTGCGTCCATCCCGCAACCGCCTCCAACGTGTCCATTGTGTCAACGGACATTCTGGGCACGAATTGGACTTGTTGGACACCTTCGGATCAACTGCACCACTCGGACCGCACCAACCGTCGTCCCTCCGTCCACCTCCTCCTCGTCCTCTTACGCCGTCAACTAACTCTGACCGCCATTCTGAACCACCGCTCCCATCCTCTTCCTCTTCCTCCCCCCCTTCTCCCCCTCCTCCTCCTCCCCCTCCTCCTCCTCCTCCTACTCGTCCTCCGCTGCCCAAACGGCTACCTTTGTGGCGTCTACCACGCACACCAACAAAAACCAACACCATTACCGTCGACACCAGTGGTGAGGACCAGTACTACACCTCTCCTTACTGCGACCGCACCTTCACCTCACACATCAGCCTGGTCGGCCACTTGCAAATCCATCGCACAGAGACCGTAGAACCAGCGCCTGTAGAACCAGCCTACACCCTCCGCACCCGCCTCCACTGCCCACACTGCCCTCGCACTTTCATGCATCGAACGGATCTATTTGACCACAAGCGCATCCACGAAAACATGCAGTAGACAACCGCCGGCCGCACCACAAAAAACACTTTCCCTCACACCATCTCACCACACATCAGCATTCATCGTAAGCACCCAAATGCCACCTCCCGCGCAAGTGGGAAGTGTAAGTATCGAATCGGTCTCCGTGCGTCTCCTGTCGCATGGGTGGCCCGAGCTTGAGACTATCCCGGTGCATCAAGCGCCGCGGATTTGAAGGCTGCGGACTGACGCTCCAAATTAATCCAATCAGTACATCCAGTTCTCTGTGTGTTGTGTGGAGTTGCGGACTGGTAGGCCGCGGGTCGGGCCGAAACAGCTCCTTCCACGGTACTCTCACGCCACTCAACCTTCGTTGTGTGAAATCCTGGTGCTTCTGTTTGGGGGACCAGGTAGTGCATGTGGTAGACGCAGACAGGGTCACTTCATCATGTCAGCCACGGCGCCCATCCCGGTTCCGATCGTGTCTGGGGGCTGAGAATGGGAAGATTGAGTGAGGTCGACGACTCAGGGCATTTTAGTCCTCACTATAGGCTTTCTGACGCGATTGATGCTATTACGATGCGCTAATAACCGTGACTTGAAGGTTTCCAACTGACGCAATAACTCGGACATCGCAATCGGTCCAGTGTTATGTCTGTTTGTGTGGAGTGGCGGACTAGTGGTCTGAGAGTCAGGCAGTAATGGCTCCTTCTTAATGTGGAATTTATGGAATTCCCACTGTAAGGGATCCGAGCCGGGTGTGGCGGCATGCCTAGGTGCGTCTTCGGCCGGGCCATTTTCCAATCTCTGTTGCTACTGGTCAAAAAACCCGGTTATTTGCTATGTGGACCAGGGGGTCTGGTGTGGAACGCCTAGGTGGAGCTCGACCGTGTCATTCAAATGCGACCTCCTCCGTCTCCGATCTTCTTGACTCTGTCTTGAATACGGGTACTGGTGGGGAAGGAGAGAGTGTGGTAGATGCAACGCAAGTCTACTCTGACCTGCGCAAGTAACTGTTCCTGACCCCACACTGTGGAGCACACGGTTGACATCGTCGAAACCGACAGTCGAATTCTCAACGACGGACAAACTCTCGATGTCGTAGCTGAGCCAAAGATATTTATCTGACGAAAAAAACCAGAACACTGTATAAAGATATATTTATTAATTTTGACTGTTTTGTTACGATATCTGCTTTGCTCGTGTTCTGGTGTCTTTCGTTAGTTGCTCTTCTAATGTATTATGTAGGAGTATAAAATTTTGTTTCCTTTTTACACACATTACTGTGCCACTTGTCCTTATCCCTCACGCCTTTATTTTCTATCGTATTAATTACGCACTTCTGCAAGATCCGCATGAGACCATAGATAATTCAAGTTGATTTTTCTAAGTTGTTATTGTTTAAAAGTTCGTACCGCTGTCTGAAATGTTTCCTTATTCACTAAAATGCTTGTCACAGACTTATTTTCCGCATTTTTTTTACTGCATTCCGGTTCTCTGTCTCATTCACGTCATAGGTCAGCTCTAGATACTCAGTGCAAAGTCTGTGGTAAAACGCTTACAGATGGCTCAAAAGAAAATAGTTACTTTTCCTTACAATATGCTAACTGCGACAACCTCATCCATTTAGGAAATAATGTCCTGATACTCGTTGAAACTCCGACTCCTGAATAGCCAAGTCACCGACCTCCAAGTTACATGATCTTGAAAAAATTTACGATTGAATTTAGACTGTTTGGTAGCGTGGTGGTAAGTCAAACGATTTTGGTCACTTGGTGTGCGTAATCGATGTCAACAAAATGAGGTTGACATAAGCTGGTCTCTCGTTCCAACAGGCGACTCTGGAAACTTGACCATGCATTACTGGATCTTCATAAGTTCGGTTGTGGTAGTAAGCCTAATTTGGTTTAATGGGAGTAGCAATGGCAACGAAGATCTTGGTAAGTTCACGCATGACATCACATGCTGATTTCCCCTCCCTTTTTATCGATTGTACGATGTTGCTAACCATAGGTATGATAACTATTTTGATCTCAAAGTTCATGTTTATAAAAATGCTCATTACGACTGTCACAGTCAACAGCCCTGCTAACCTGGTGCTCGCAATTTGAATGATTAATTTTTAAAATGATTTTAGTCCTCCAGTTCGCACACTTTCGTGTGTTTTCGAAGCCAATTTAGTTTGTGTCCTGAGTTTGTCCGTTCACTGTCATATACTATACAAAAGACCCCTTATCCTTTCAAGTTCTTTTTTATGCGCTTGCATTGTAAGTGTATTGTCTTCGAACTTAGCAAATAAAAGGGTGGGAACTGCCTGGCTGATCTATAGCCTTTAATCCTTATTTTTGTTCAGACAAGGTGAATTTTTCTTTTGCGCTGGATGCCGCACCGGTCGAACAAGGCAATTACTAAATTATTCCCCAGGAATGCGAAAGTGTGTTGCCGGATTATAAATGAAACATAAATACCCAATCCATACAGACAAATAGAGATTAAATTCGTGAGTTTCAGCATGCACCAAATACTCATAGACAACGTTTTGCATTAGCAAAATATGTACGTAAAACCGTTGGGCATTGGTTTGCGCTTTTGCTGTCTTTTTCAGTTGCGTGATACAGTGAACGGCTGACAGGACTAAGTGCTCACCTCATTCATTTTATGTTGTTCTAAGTTTCTAACACAGATGCATGGGTAAAAAGCAGACTGCTCGAGCACCGGAGCCGTTTGTTCACTTTTCTGGACTTGTGAACTCTGGCAGGAGTCTATCATCAGAGATGACAATGGCAGTATTTTTGTTCTCTCAACTTGAAACTAAAACGGCCAAGTAGTCCTTACGAACTTATTTTGACGAGTGCCCTCTGTTTACATGAAGGAACTACAATAGGATACAGGATTCCCTATCCATATGCCGCTAATTGTCATCCGCTTGGCATATGCTAGTGTTGCCCACCGACCTATCCAAAGCGCGGGACAGAAGTGAACGCTTCCGTTTCTGCTGTGGGCCCGAATGCCGACAGCCCGTAGAGGCTCTCGGCTATTTTAATTCTAATCCCAATGTGATTGCACTTTCTATAACGTAGTCGAGGTTGCGGATTCATCATGGTCCACAGGAAGGGCGCTGGTCTGTGAGATGACTGCTGGTGAAGCCCTGTTGAATGTCGCGCCGTAATGCTATTTCAGTTTCTGCTCCGTCGCTGGCGATTTTCTCGCCAGCTTGTTGATTATCGAAACCGGACCATATTGTAGACGCATGGCCCGCAATTCATTGTTTTTCAGGCAGGCAGATTCTCTTTTCTCTTGGTGGACCTCCGACCTGTTAGCGTTCGATTGTGGGCATTTGGAGGATTTCGCATCTAGTCTTTCAGCAAGACCCAGTCTTATTGGGTAGCTGTTCTCATGATTTTGGAGTTTCTGTTAAGTTTGAAAATAATTATTATGCCAGAGCCATGCCAGAAATTAGCACACGTGGTAAGAGTGATTAGCCGGACGTGGAACCTTTTAGTGCCCTGGCTCTTTTGTGAATCTGGTACCAAACGAGCCGGTCAACTACCGCCTCTCGTGACTATCCTGACTTAACTGATGGCCACCCTTATCCTGAATGCCCTCCACTCGTTGGCATTTTGGTTACAGTCTGTGAGCTTTTTAGCTGAAACTCCACTTTTCATCTTTATGGCTGACTTCGCTTGCTTTTGTTTCTCTTCACCACTTTGCCTGTAAGCTGTTGGGTCCGACCCCGCTGGGAGTCCTCTGCCCCATCGTTTAAAAGTTCCTTCTGGTAAGATTATCACGACACACCCACAGTCCCTTATCTTAGAAAGTCAGCCATGGACATGGACACGCTTGTATTTACCCAATTACTGGCACCACTTTCTATGTTGGGCCCAAATCTTCCTGGCAAGACGTAAGCTATACCGTAGCTACTTCCGTAGTGGCCAAAATGTCCACATCTATCTAACAGCCAACAGGTTCACATTCTTTTCAAGGGTTTAATAGAAACGGACGAGGCAGAGTAAAACAAGCAGTTTTGCCCGCCGTACTCAAGCCCAATGTACGGAAGATCTGAGATTCGAAATTGTGTCCGTTTGTTCGCCGATCTTAATGCTGCACGATCTGTGTCCTGAGACCATGCACTGTCGGCTGTATTCGGGATTAGTCGAAAGCTGGTGAAGGTGACGCCCATTGCTGTGGAATTAGGCTGCCGTTTCATCTGCTACTGTATTTGCATTGTACATTTCCTCTTCCCTTTAATTAGCCTCCGAAACTTTGTGCTTGCTATGGCTGATCAATACTTTATCACCGACACTAACTGAGTCCGATGGCGCGGTATGTAGTCTTAGCCTGCTCAAGTTCGCAAGCTCCTTCATCTATTAGTAGTTCTGTCACTCTTATGCATGCAGTAGCAACATAACCCTGGTAATGTGCATCTGGCCGTATACGCCATTTAACCGCTGAGGATATTAAACAACGATACGCTCATCGTCAAAACACATGATCTATCATTTCCCTATCTGCCCATGGGGTCACATACGTCGGACATAACCTCACCAAGCGCCGCTTAGAATTTTTGGCTGTACTTTTCTCGGCATTTCCAACATGGTCAGACCACTATAAACGTGTGGTATTTTGAGCATACCAAGTGACGAGATCCACCCCTGTCCCAGTGATTGAGCGCGAGATGATTTGCGCGTGAATTTGTTTATATTGGGATGGTCTTGCGCTGCTTCCACTTCACTCTCCCCAAAGATTCACCGTGTTTTGACGGGTAGATGAAATCAAGACGATGTAGAGTGGGCATGGACGTAGTGCATACCTTGGACTAACTGGTTCCATTTTGTAGTAAGGGACGTAATAACCACGTTAAGTAGGGTGCACTGCAGCCCAACCTTCGAGCCTCTGAAGAACCGATTTACTGTC